AATTGTACTCCTAGAATTTATATTGTATATGTATTGTTCAAAAATAGGGATCAAAAAATCGTATATAACATTTTTGTCGTTTTCAAAAAGAATCAGCCATATACAAACGCAAGATTCACATATTATAAACGTACTTCGTACTTTGTGTAACATTTTCCACATTTAGCTAGGGCATAAAAAAGGCTTAATTCACATAAACTTTTAAGATCGACTCCAAAGTCAATTCCTGCATGTCATTTGTCCTAATTCGTTATTAGGAGGGCATAACGATATGTTATTGTCTGACTCCAACGTCAATTCCTGCATGTCATTTGTCCTAATTCGTTATTAGTAAGGCATAACAATATGTTATTATATTCATGTGTCTAACTTAAGGACTTTTAATGGACCTACATTTAGCATCTCACAATAAACACTTTTGATGGCTCCGCATTTAGCATCTCAAAATAATGACAACTCAATACGCAGAATGTGTAACAACATTTCATATTTTATTTAAAATTTCGTACAAGTACTTTGCACTTTAGAATTTTTCTTGTTCCTTCGTAATAAAACTAATGGATGAACCTGATAAACTCGTTTCAGAACTCATTCAATCATCCGTTCACCTTAAAATTGCTTGCATATCCCTGCGCGCTTGCTATGAGGTCGATGAAGATGTCCCTCCTGAACTCCTCACCCTTCGTAACGAAGCTACGATAAATGCAAAAGTTTACTACGAAAAAATTATGCCATTTGCAAATTTGGTCGTTACAATGATTCAAAATGTTGCGTTTGATTTTAAGGCATTGCATCTTGATGAGATCAAAAAAGACATTGAGTATCATAGAAAAAAGGCTCGTAAAAACAGTTGTTTAGCCAATTATACAAAAGAACTTCACATGGGGATTTCTCAATGTTTCAAACAACAAGAAGATCATGCAAAAAAGATTTTGGAAAAATATAGGTTGGACCTTGAGGAATATGAGGAACATGCAAAAATACTTGAAAGGAAAGCAGATCACAGATATATATGGGCTATTGCTTTGGCCTTTTTTCCTGGCTTAAATTTGATTGTAAGCCCCATGTTAAAGATCCATGCAGATGCAGATAAAGCAAAAAGTCTTCGATTGGTTGCTACGGCACTTGCATTTAGAGATACTCTCCCCAAATCGTTGGATAACTTTGCTAGTTCTTTAGATAATATTTCGGGATTTTTTAATAATCTCGAAAATGATCTGATATCTCTCATTGATGATGATGACGATGGAATTGAACATCAATATAATGCCTTTCGTCTAAAGGTTGATGATATTATTGAAAGTTGTAAACAATATAAATCTTCTATTCCTGGCTGTATAACCGACCTTCGGGCGATTCCCATCCATATTGATGAAATTGATGTTAAGGAATGGTTTTGCAACAACTTACATGAAAAAGAAGATGGTAAAATGGTTTCTTATTTGGATTGGGGGGAGGAAGTACTTTATGAAAATAATCCTGCATTACAACTGTTAAGAAAATAACGAGAGGATAAATTGGTTGTCTTTTTGATTAGGAAGGTGTATTAGCGTTATGTTAAATATCCAAAAAAGTCAACAATTATTTCAGACAAATTTTATGTAAATAGGTATCAAAAGTTTGGTTACAAAAGACGGGTGGTAATTTCTATCAAAAGCCAATGGAAAATTTTTTCGTTTAAATTATATAACTAAATCAGTATTGATATTTAATATTCTAACAAATTTAATAAATTAAATCTATACTATTCAGAAAAT